ATCGATAACTCTCTCTCATCGATGTTTCTAACTATCTCTCTCCCTTCCTATCTGTAAAAAAATCAATAAAATATATTTTAAAAAAATTTTTAATAAAAAATTAAAAAAGAAAGAAAAAGGAGCATAGTCAGAACTGCCTTGCAGGACTGTGGGGACTGAGTATGACTGGTACCCAGCACGGTGTCAGCGGCACACACCCTGCCCATTAGACGGTGCTACTAGAACAGGTGTGACAATCCTTCTTCCCCATCTTTTCAGAGCCCTGCCATCGGCCTCTACTGCAGTTACACAGGTACCCACTCAGCTACCTTATCCTGAAGAGAGCAGGCTGGCCTGGGCATCCTGTGTCCGAGGCGAAAGAGTCTGGGTCCTGTAGGCGGAGAAACTGGTTTTCCTTCGGGAGCTGGATGGTGATATTGACAGCCACCACTTAAGATCCCCTTTATGCTGTACTGTGTGTTTTATACACATTCTATTCAAATCCTCCTTCAACTCTGTGAGACTGGTATTATCATTCCCACTTTATGGAAAAGAAGACTGAGGCCAAGAGAATTGAAGTTCCTTGCCCAGCTCACAGTTAGAAAGTATAATGCCACTCGATTTATGGCGGGATCTGACCCTCATGATGCCTACCCCCACCTCCACCCTACTCCCCACCCTCCTGGTGCTAACAGCACAGAGTGTATCTGTCACTTCACCTCAGTGGCAGTGGAGGAGGGCAGAAGGAGCAGTGTCCCTTTTGGAGTACGGTCCTAGGCAGCCCTGCAGGATATAAGAGCCCCCTCCTTTCCCTACTCATCTTACTCCATTCACTACACACATGTGACTATTCACTGCCAAACCCTAGCACCTAGCTTGACATGTGGTAGATGTTCAATAAATAGGTTTTAACAGTTGTTTTATTTCTTCAATTATAGATGACATTCAATGTTATATTATTAATAGTTTCAGGTATACAGCATAGTGGCTAGACACTTATAGAACTTACAATGTGTTCCTCCACAAGTCTAGTACCCACCTAGCACCATATGTTATTGACTAACAGTATATTCCCTGTGCTGTACTCTATTTACCATGACTATTTTGTAACTAATACTTAATCCCTTCACCTTTTTTACCCCCCAACCTTTCTCCCATCTGGCAACCATCTGTTTTGTTCTCTGTTTCTATGAGTTTGTTTCTGTTTTGTTTGTTTTGTTCTTTAGATCCTACATAGAAGTGAAATCATATGCTATTTGTCTTTCTCTGTTTGACTTATTTCACTTAGCACAATACCCTCTAAGTCCATCCATGTTGTTGCAAATGGTAAGATTTCAATTTTTTTTTATGGCCGAGAAATATTCCATTGTATATATACCACATCTTCCTTATCCAACTGTCTATTGATGGACACTTAGGTTGCTTCCTTATCTTGGCTACTGTATATGAAATGCTCTTCTTTGTCTCTTGTTCTAGCCTTTGTTTTAAAGTCTATTTGTCTGATATAAGTATTTCTACCTGACTTGTTTCCCTACATTTCCATTTGTCTAAAATATTTTTTCCATCCTTTACTTTCAGTCTCTGTGTGTCTTTTGATCTGAGGTGGGTCTCTTGAGGGCAGCATATATGGATCTTGTTTTCATACCTATTCAGCCACTATATGTCTTTTGATTGGAACACTTAAAGTAATTATTGATAGACAAATGATTGCCATTTTATTATTCATAATTTTTGCCATTTTATTATTCATAATTTTTATTTTCTTCTTCTTCCTCTTAAATTTAACATTTCTTATAATACTGGTTTGGTGGTGATGGACTCAGTTAGCTTTTTTCTCGCCTGGGAATCAGTCAATATGTTTTAATTGAGTGAATGAATGTATCATGATTCATGTCATTAAAATTATATCATGGTTTCTTCGAAATGGTTCTGCAAATACATACACAAACGCAATGATATGACACAATGCTAATCATTAAATCTATGGGATGAGTAGTTGAGATGCTCATTTTATTATTCTGCTTTTTTGTGTCTTTGAAATTTTCCATAATAGAACTTATTTTTAGTTTAAAATTTCTATATTATTAATTTTCTACCATTATTTTTCTTGTAAGTATACAGTCATATTGCCTGATATTCCATTTGTTTAACCCATATTACTGTTAGATATTTAAGGTGGGTTTTTTTTTTTCTATTTCTATTTACCTGGATTATTTTTCTGTTTCTTTTGCTATAAATAATGTGATTAGTATTCTCACATACAAATTTGGGCCACATCTCTGATTGTTTCCCAATTACACATTTCTAAATGTAGGATTACTAGGGAAAACGATGGACATTTGTTTAGAATCATTTTGCCAAATTGCTTTCCAGACAGATCACACCAATTTCTATGCCTCTAGTTGGGTACCAGCATGCCCGTCTCACCACAATCTCACTGGCATTTTGTTATCGCTCCTTTAAAATATCAATTTAGTTTGTTCCGAAGATAATAGCTTATTCTTAAGTTGCACTCTTGGGTTCTTATTCTGACTAGGCAGTGTCCATTTGTAGTGCTCATTTGTCTGTCTTTTATGAGCCATCTAAGGAATAGCCTTTTCCCATTTATCTGTCAGGCTGTTTTCTTACATGTAAAGTATCCTATCCTTAAATTTTTAAAAAAATATATATTTTATTGATTTTTTACAGAGAGGAAGGAAGAGTGATAGAGGGTTAGAAACATCGATGAGAGAGAGTCATCAATCAGCTGCCTCTTGCACACCCCCTACGGGGGATATGCCCGCAGCCAAGGTACATGCCCTTGACCGGAATTGAACCCAGGACCTTTCAGTCCCAAAGCCGACGTTCTATCCATTGGCCAAACCGGTTTCGGCCTATCCTTCATTTTTTATTGTAAACATTTTATTCGAGATTATCATCCATCTTTTAATGTTTTCCAGAGTATGCTTTGACATACAGAAAACCTTAATTTTTTATGTATGTGGGAGCAACTTTCATTTTCTCCCTTGTTAACCCAACTTCAAGGCCCCCTTCTCACCAGCCTACTCTTGACTGCTTACAAGAGGTCACAGGGCCCCGTGGTTAAGACTAGGGGCTCTGGAGCCGGACACCTGGGTTCAAATGTCAGTCTTGCCCCCTATTAAATGCCAAGACCTTGGACAAATTTCTGAATCTCTTTGCATATAGTTTTCTAATCCATAAAGTGGGGTGATGAGATTATTTATCTTACAGTGTTGTTGTGAGGAACAAATGAGCTATTATTTATAAAGTGCTTAGAACAGCTCCTGGCGTACATAAAGTGCTACATAAGGTTTGCTTTCGTTATTACCGACTGCAGCGAACCCTTTGGAAGGGATTTTGTTTGCAAAGCTACTGTGGTATTAGTGAAAGAGAAAGCTGGATCTGTCCAGCAGGATGTGCCCTGTTAAACAAATCTAGGTGTTTGTTATTTTAACTTCAACTTCAAAATATTATCTCCACTTTATTTTTATTAGATGCTATTAAATTTAAACAAACTAATTACATGCTCACCCAACTCACAGCGTGGGATTTAAATGTGTGACTAAAGATCCCCAAAAAGCGAACAGGACATATAAACCAGACATATTGTTCCTCTTCCGTTTGGCGGATGTTTGTCGTATGCCTGCAGTAGGCCAGGAGCCGTGGATTCTGTAGAGAATAAGACACAGTCCCAACCTGGAGCCTTCCCAGCCTGGTGAAACTTCCACCTGGACTTCGAACCGGGAGCAGGGATACCTGGGATGTATTTTAGGTGGTGGTTGAGGGTGTCCAGGGACCTTGGCTGGGATCTGACCACTCAGGTTCTGTCACTGATGCCTGTGTTCCCAGCCTGGTTCTCCAGACTTTCCAATGAGTTTAGAGAGCTGTCCCCTAACTCCATCTTCCTAACGGACCCCTCCTCTCTTTAGGAGAGCCAGAGCTGGTTTCTGTGGTAACGGAGAACTTGGATTCCTGCCTGTTACTAATCCCTCTTCTGGAATCAGTCCTGTCTGACTCTGCCAGTCCCCATCGATAGGCATCCTGTCTAGTCCCAGCGAGGCCCTGGACGGGGAGTCAGAACCCAAGGTGTTCTTTCTGGGATATCTCTGGGCAGGTGACTTACCTTCTGGGCCTCAGTTATAAATGAAGGAGTTCGCCTAGATTTGTGGTTGGCAAACTCATGAGTCCGCAGAGCCAAATATCAACAGTACAACGATTGAAATTTCTTTTGAAAGCCAACATTTTAAACTTAAACTTCTAACGCCACTTCTTCAAAATAGACTCGCCCAGGCCGTGGTATTTTGTGGAAGAGCCACACACACTCAAGGGGCCAAAGAGCCGCATGTGGCTCAAGAGCCGCAGTTTGCCGACCACAAGCCTAGATAATCTTAAAACACTCTCTTCTCTGCTGTCCTGTGACCCTTGAGGCTTTTTCACAGTCTTTTCCCCAAAAGTAGGATGTCCTCCCTCGCCTTCCTTCCCTTCATTCAACCACACACACTCACCTCACCCGGAATCCTGTCATATTGATCCCAAACTACTTTCTTTCTCCAAGTCTGTATCCTGTTTTCCTTTAGCTTGTGAGTTCTCACGGTGCAAGCAAAAGCAGCTTTTCCTTTCTACCACCCATGCCTAGATGTCGATTCTGAAGGGTCAACGACTGATAAACAGTAATTTCAGATACGTATTGTAAAAACTCAGAGGGCTGTTTGGTTTCTCTGTTCTCATCCCGCTGCCCCTTTCCTGGAAGTTCTCCATGGGGTTTTGTGGAGGCTGGGGCATGGCCCCGGGAGCTGGCGCCTGGGACCAGCTGGGCCTCACTCGGGCGGCCTTGCGTGCGGAGGACACAGAGCCTCTTGTTCCCAGAGGAACTCCAGGTGGGCCCTGACCTAACGGGGCACCCGCTCCCTGTGACACTCACAATCCCGGGCCCAGCAAGCACCCGAGGCCGGCGGCTGCCCGAGGAGAAACAGGACTGCACTTTGTCTCACCTGACCTGCCTTCCTTCCTGTTTGCAGACGATGGGGGATGTGAAGCTGGCTGCCTCGGCACACGTTTCTAAAACCTCCCTCAGTGTGGATCCGTCCAGAGCCGGCTCCATGCCCCTGACCGAGGCCCCCGCTTTCATTCTGCCCCCTCGGAACCTCTGCCTCAGAGAAGGAGCCACCGCCAAGTTTGAAGGGAGGGTAAGACGTGGGCTGGATGGGAGGCTTGGGGGAGGTGGAGGGGGTTAGACTCCTTCTGGAGCCTTTTCCTCACCAGGATGGATCTGGTAGAGGACCTGGTTTGTTTGGGACCCACACGTAAAGTGAATATATACCATTTGCCTTGTTTATTTTGTTTATGGTTGACTTTGCTGTGTTGGAGGACTCAGAGAGGGGGTGTGGAGGGACACCAAAATGTTTTGCTGTTAATGTAGGTCCTGTCTGGGTATGCAATACCTGATCATAGGTCATAAAAGAACATATATGCTGGTGTTCTGGGTTAGCCCAGAACAGATTGGGTTCAAATAAATGCCTTAGAATATGGACAATTAAAAACTGACGATAATTTTTCTTTTCCTTCCTCCCTGGAAGGAGTGTTTACTTAACTAAACTCCTGAATCCACTTGGTACACCCAGTGCAATGGGATGGGGGGTAGGACCCCTTCTGCTAATGAGCATTGGTCTCTTTACTGGGTCCCCATTTCTTCTGCTCCAAATGGGCATGGCAATCCCTTGTCCATCCTGTACTAGAAGGACGGAGAAGGTGGGAGCATTGAAGAACAGCTGTCAGAATATCTGGTGTTATGCCCAATTGGAGAGGCTTTCCGTGAGCTGCTGCCTCAGACCACCAGGAAGTCATGTCATCCACTTGATGTGGAGATGCGTGTGGAAGTCAGGGGGTTCGCAGGTATTGGTTGTCCTGGATTCAACATGGAGGTCTATTCCAGGAATGCTTTAGAAGCTAGAGGACTTTGATCAGAGCAAAAGATAGCTCAGGTGGTGGGAAATTTATAGGCTGCCCTGTGAATCTACAGTTGACCCTTGAAAACTACTGCGAGATCCATTTATACGTGGATTTTTTTTCCCAATAAATATACAATCAGCCCTCTGTATCCCCATGTTTTATATCTGTGGATTCAGCCAACCATGGGTTGAAAACAGTATTTTTTTTATTTGCAGTTTGGAATCCACAGACATGGAGGGCTGAATTAAATGACATGTGGATTTTCAGCTGTCTGGGGTCAGCACCCCTAATCCCCATATTGTACGGGATCAACAGTGCAGTTTGGGAGCAGACCCCCGAAAGTTTGTGGAAGAAAGGGATGAACACCTCGCTCTTCCCAGCTGACACTGGACCCTGCCTTTGTTCAGGTGCCAGTTGGGTGGTCCTCCGGAGAGAGGGCAGGGATTGTGCTTTGAAAGTGGCTCCGGAGGCCCTGCACCATGTGCTGGCACAGGCCTGTCTAGTGAAGGCTGCTGGCTGGTAGTTGTGACATAACAGTCCTTGTCGTGTCTATTATCTGAGGAAGTTTGTGTGTGTTGGGGGGGCGATGCTGCTGAAGCGTCTGTTTCTTCTCTCTGGGCACCACCAGGATGAAGGCTCTTTTCTGTTGTCCTGGCCGCCATCACCATGTCCCCACAGCTGGCAGGGCAGATGCAATAGGAAGAATCCCTGGGGCATCAGAAAGGGCTTGGATAACCATGAAAAGGAAGGAAGTGCTGATACATGCTTCAACATGAATGAACACTGGAAGCATCATGCCAAGTGATAGAAGCCAGACACAAAGGCCGCATAGTGAATGATTCCATGAATATGAAATGTCCAGAACAGGCAAACCCAGGGAGACAGAAGGTGGATTAGTGGTTGCCAGGGGCTGGGAGGAGGAGTGGAGAGGGACTGCTAATGGGCCCATGGTGTCTTTTGGGGACGATGGAAATGTTCTGAAATCATACGGCAATGATGGCTGCACAACTCTGTGAATACATCATAAAACACTTAAGTTTGCACTTACAAATAAAAAGTGAAAAATTTAAAAATGCCTTTGCAGACGGATCTCATCCCTCTTGCCCTTGGCCTCTGAGATGAATGCCTTCCTCAAATTCAGGCAGACTGGAGAGGAAGAGATGATTTTGCTTCCTTAGAGTATGTTGGTGTCCTTGCTTCCTTTGTGACTTTGAGGTCATCATGGCTTTGAGTTACTTGATTTGGAACTGTCAGGGAATGGACACTGGCCCGGGAGCCAGTGCTGGAGTCCTTTGTTGCTGTCATTGTCTGGTTGGAGAGGTCACACCTTCTAAAGATCTATTTCCTTATTCTGTCTATGTAAAACCCTAATATGCAAATTGATCAAATGGTAGAGTGACCTGCGAAACAACCAGTGAGTGGAAGTAGGGGGGCGGCAAGCCAGCCAAGGTTGTGCCAGCAGGCAGTGGGAGGCGATTGTAGGCAGAGGTGATGGGGGGTGGGGCTGGCATGTGTGCAGTGCCAGGCTGCCAGCCAAAGCAGTGCCAGCAGGGACCTTCCCTCCCATCACCCTGCTAGTTTCCCCGCAGATCGGCCCTGATTTCAGGCCAGGCTTAGAGACCCTGCTCGTGCACGAATTTTGTGCACTGGGCTTCTAAACAGAGAAAAGCAGTTTCTGCATTTCTAGTCTACAGGGGTGTGAAAAGAAAATGAGCAGAAGAAGAAAATGGTAAAAGCACTTAATAAAAGTTAAAAAGTATAGTAACTATTTTATGAGGTGAAATTCACATCATGTAAACATAACCACCTTAAACAAAGCAATACAGTGGCATTTAATGTTTTCACAATTTTGATTGCAGTCTTCTTAAAGTATAGCAGTCTCTATGTGAAAGTTTTGTTCATTTTGATGAAATAGTTGACATATGTCACATGTGGACTACATGTCAAAATGGATGTGCTGCTAAGAAGTCAGTCTGCAGAGCTACTTTACACCTGCCTGGGACTAACCCAGAGCAGCACCATGGCAGCCGGTGAACGGTGAGCACCCAGGGAAGATGGCTCCGGAGAGATGGTAGAGGGAGTGCCAGGCTCCATCTGCAGACTTGCAGAGAATATAGAGGGAAAGACTGTCATAGAAGTGCTCTGTAGACTAGCGTGCTGGGAGTGTGTGTCATCACTGCAGAAAGGACTCAGGGGGACATTTTGCATTGGGGAAAGGCAACCTCAGATGATTCCAGAATGAGGAAGCTAGTTGTTTTGACACCAGAGATGAGGTTGTCAGGGGTATTCCTGACCTGGAGCCCTCAGCGAAGGGCAGGGTAAGGCAGTGTTAACCTGAAGAGGCATGAGTATTGAGCAGGGTTACTGGTATGGAAGCCTGAGCTCCAAGGGGGTTACCCACCTAGTGTGGTCCGTGTTTCTCTGGCTTCATTGCTGCGGCCTCTTGACCCTGCCTGCACCTGACTCCTCCCTCCAGGTCCTGCTCTAGATGCTCATTCTGCACCAGACCAGTCCTGAGTCAGGTTCACAATAACCTCAGGACCTCTACTCTTCAGTCACTGGGCCCTTAGAGCATCTCTTGCAAGTGAGTGACTTTTAAAAATTAAGCCTTCAAGCTACTACTTGGGTCCGGGCTGGTGCCCACTGTAGCTGCCAGGAGTCCTTCTCTTCCATGTGATGGCCCCTGGAAGCTCTGCCTGCTTTTCTCATCCCCCACCCTTCCCTCCTTAAAGTTGCCACCAACAACTTGAGCCCTGAAGCCACGGTGTGAGGGGCCTAGGATGTGGGAGGAGGGCCTCTGTGACTGTAGAAATACAATGGACACCACCGATGTGAGAAAGTTGTAAAGGTTTGTTTGCTGCCACCTCCTGATGCTGGCAATTGAGGTTGGTTTGAACTGCACTTTCTGTTTTTATTCCTGAAAGAGGTAAAAACAGCTGCCTGTCCTGCCCCCATTTCCTTTTTTAGGCCTACTTGTAAGCCAAGGATTTAAATGACCATTTTCTCCAATAAAGCTCCTCTTTCTAGCAAGAAGACTTGGTGACTTTAAGGTGGGGCCACAAGTGGCCCTTGTGGTTCGTGTCTTGTTCTGAGACACCTTGCACTATGAGAGGTCCGGCTCTGTGGGTCTCGGTCCCTCACGTCTCCTAGGGTTTTTCTAGTTTGTGGCAGATACGTGGGACCACCAACACATAACCCATTACAGGTCCCCTTTGCCCTTGCCCTTCTCCACTGTAGAGGCCACTGTAGGGCTTTCCTTTGCAGCTAAGTATGGCGGTGACATGTTCTGGCTGAGGTCTGCTAGAGAGTTTCTGGGAAAGTTCTTGCTTTTCTGATTTTTATTTTCTTTTTTTTTTCTTTTCTTTTCTTTCTTTCTTTTCTTTTCTTTTCTTTTTTTTTTTTTTTAAGAGAAGGTCATTACTGCTGCTCTCATATTCCTCCCCTTCCTACCTTCCAGCCTTGAATACAGATATGATACCCAGTGCTCAGGCAACCGCATTAAAACAACGAGGCAACAAGCCAGAATACTAAGGTTAATTGGTGTGTGTGTGTGTGTGTGTGTGTGTGTGTGGGGGGGGGGGGGGGAGGAGTGTCAGCAGTGGATAGAGCACAAGGACCAGTAGCTGAGAGATAAAAGTCCTAAGGATTAAAGACTTTCTCAGATAGGATCTTTGGCTGTGATCATTCACACAGGAAATTTTACAAAAAGTATTATATAACCTAATAAGATGCATGTGGAGGTACTGTCTCTTTAATTGATGGGGATAAATAGGGAAGCAGTCAAAGCACAGAGAAACATGGAAGAACATTTTCAGACCCTTACCCAGTCTGCCAACAGTGAGGGGAGTGCCCTATTATGAGTTGAACGTGGCCCTACAGTGAAGCATTCTAGAAAGATCTGTTCCTCTTTGGCTGTGGCCATCTGGCTTGAATCCCAGTGTCTAGGATTTCTGAGTGGAAGTCAACCACGTGGAGTCAAGTGGTAAATTAATGTCTCTGTAGAACAACCACTATTTGATCAGAGTCTCCCGAACGGGCCAAAACTACATTCCTTTTCGGACTCTGCCAGCCTCAAGCTCAAGGAGGTTATCTTGAAACGGTGGCTCTGTATCTCATAACAGCCATCTTAAGATCCAGACAGCCTGCCTCATGTTCTCGAAACCCCTGTTCCTCCTTCCTGCTCTCCCCTGGCCTCAGAGCAGGCGACCTGTCTACCCAGGGCATGTGCTCCTGGAGC